TGCCTTTGCTTGTATACTCAGCAAATAAAAGTAAACAGAGTAAATAAAAGTCATTAGAAAACCTTAAAACATGGCTGGGAAAGTGGCTCAGTGGTAGCACTTACCTTGCATGCATGAGGCCCTGGGTTCAATTCCTCAGCACCACATAAGCAAAAAGAAAAAAAAAAGCCGGAAGTGGTGCTGTGGCTCAAGTGGTAGAGAGCTAGCCTTGAGCTGAAGAGCTGAGGGACAGCGCCCAGGCCCAGAGTTCAGGCCCCACGACCGGACCAAAAAAAAAAAAAAAAAAGAAGAAAAAGAAAATCTTAAACACTTTCAAAAGATTTTTTTTTTTCCAAAAGAAAATCTGGAGGATTTTTAACTGGTTTTAGCCACTGGTGCCCAACTATGAGTACATTTCTTTTTGAAATGATAAATATAAGTCAGGTACTGGTGGCTCATGCTTGAATCCTCATTACTGATGAGGGTGATATCTGAGGATTGTGGTTCAAAGCCAGTCAGGGCAGGAAAGTCTGTGAAACTCTTATCTCCAAATAAACTACCAAAAAAAAAAAAACAACCAGAAGTGGAACTCAAGGGAAAGAACACTAGCCTTGATCAAAAGAAGTTCAGGGAGCTAGTCTCAGTGGCTCAGGCCTGTAATCCTAGTTACTCAGGAGGCTAAGATCTGAGGATCACAGTTCAACGCCAGCCTGGGCAGGAAAGTCTGAGACTCTTATCTCCAATTAACCACCAGAAAACCAGAAGTGGCATTGTGACTCAAGTGGTAGAGCACTCGCCTTGAGCTGCATATCAGAAAAGAATATAAAATACTTTGTAGCAGCTAAAAATTCTAAGCTTCTATGAAGTTATTATTTTTCATTAAAGATAAAGTCTGAGGGCTGGGAAGGTGTCTCAGTGGTAGAGCGCTTGCCTTGCATGCATGAGGCCCTGGGTTTGATTCCTCAGTACCACATAAGCAAAAAGAAAAAAGCCGGAAGTGGTGCTGTGGCTCAAGTGGTAGAATACTAGCCTTGAGCTGAAGAGGTGAGGGACAGTGCCCAGGCCCAGAGTTCAGGCCCCCGACGGGACCGAAAAAAAAAAAAAAAGATAAAGTCTGATCAATTAAAGAGGGGGAAAAGCTATGCAATTATAACTAGCTAGAAAAAGGGAAACTTGTATCATCAAAAGTCAATGTTAATGAAGTAAACAACCTTAATGCACAAAATGGCCTTTCAGTCCCATTCTCTCATTTGTGAATGTCAAACTGTTGAAATGCATGCTCTTTCTTGAGTTCAAGGTCCATCCGTAACAACTAGATAGCCCTATCATATGACATCCTAAATGGCAGACTTCCCCAGAGCATGATTTAGCAATGAAAATAACCTATAACTGTTCTCTGGAGTTATAACCACCTGACTTTTGTAACTGTAACCCCTCAGTACATCAGCTTTATAATACAAAAAATTTTAAGATACAATATGAAAAGTTATCTTTTGAAACTGCAAAGATCCAAATTATTAGACTGCTAGAATTTCAGACTTGCTTTCTTCTAAATAAGAACAAAAGTGTTGCACCAACCCCAAGAGCAGAGAGAAACAAATATGCTGATGTAGTTTACCTAGAAAGTATCTAATATTCCACCACGCTATGGAGTTCAGTTCTTATGTTTTCCATTTCTATTCCCACAAATTTTAGTCTGTCAGTTCTAGAGCATAAAACCCTAAAGATGACAACCACTTAATGAAATTTCCTCATCCAGAAAAAAAGCAGTTGTGCCAGGTGACTTCTTAGCTTCTCCTTCTACTTCTAATTTTCTAATATTTCAAGATCTCCAATTCACTAAGAAAGTAACTGTTAGTACCAAGTGCTGGTGGCTCATGCCTGTAATCCTAGCTACTCAGGAGGCTGAGATCTGAGGGCAACAGTTCAAAGCCAGCACAGGAGAGTCCAAGACTCTTATCTCCAATAAACTACTCAGAAAAACAGGGAAGTGGCATTGTGACTCAAGTGGTAAAGCGTTAACCTAAGCAAAAGCAGCTCAGGGACAGCATCCAGGCCCTGAGTTTAAGTACTAGGATTGGCACACGTGCGCGCGCGCACACACACACACAAAGAAAAAAGAAAAAACAAAGTTATTGTCATATTAAAGCTCAATCTGCAGTAATTTTCACTACTTCACAAGAACTTAAAGTTGGAGTACTTGAGAAAATTTTCCCAAGTTTATAAAACTGCAGAAGAGGGGCTGGGAATGTGGCTCAGTGGTAGAGTGCTTGCCTTGCATGCATGAGGCCCTGGGTTCAATTCCTCAGCACTACATAAGCAGAAAAAGCCAGAAGTAGCACTGTGGCTCAAGTGGTAGTGCTAGCCTTGAGATGAAGAGCTGTGGGACAGTGCCCAGGCCCAGAGTTCAGGCCCCATAACCGAGCCAAAATAAATTAATAAATAAAGCTGCAGAAGAAATATAGTCACCTATTTGTTATCCCAACTTAAATAAAAATCTGTCTAAATGGAATTAGAACTCTATAATAGTAATCAGCCAGGCGCCGGTGGCTCACACCTGTAATCCTAGCTACTCGGGAGGCTGATATCTGAGGATCATGGTTCAAAGCCAGCTGGGCAGGAAAGTCTGTGAGACTCTTATCTCCAATAAACCACCAGAAAACCGGAAGTGGCGATGTAGCTCAAGTGGTAGGGCGCTTGCCTTGATCTGAAGAGCAGGACAGGGCGCAGGCCAAGTTCAAGCCAGCTGAGTGAAAAAGCCAAGCTTTGAAGCCCTGATTTCAAGCCTCAGCAACACACACACACACACACACACACACACACACACACACACACACACACACACACACACACACTCTTCCACGTAATACATGTAATAGGGTTTTTTTTTTGTTTTGTCAGTTGTGGGGCTTGAACTCTAGGCTAGACGCTGTCCCTGAGCTCTTCAGCTCAAGGCAAGTTTTTTACTACTTGAACCATAGAGCCACTTCTGGTTTTCTGGTGGTTTATTGGAGATAAGCGTCTCCTGGAGCCGGTGGCGAACATCTGTAATCCTAGTTACTCAAGGGGCTGAGAACTGAAGATCATGGTTCAAAGCCAGCCCAGGCAGGAAGATCCATGACGGACCAAAAAAAAAAAAGTTTCCCAGACTTTCCTGATGGGGCTGGCTTTTGAACCAGGATCCTCAGATCTCAGCCTCCAGAATAGCTAGGATGACAGGTGTGAGCCACCAGTGCCCGGTATTTTTTTTTTTTTTTAAGACAAGGACCTGTTGGGTAGCTCAGGCTGGGCTCAAAGTCAAAATTCTCTTTCATCAACCTCTCAAGTTTTGGGACTACAACTATGAATGCCATGCAATGGATTTTTAAATGATAGATTCTAAGTATATTTTTACCTTTTTTTTCTTTTCTTTGTTGGCGCCAGTCCTAGGACTCTAACTCAGAGCCTGGGCGCTGTCCCTGAGCTTTCTTTGCTCATGGTTAGCACTCTACTGCTTGAGATTCAGTTCCACTTTCATTTTGTGTGTGTGTGTGTGTGTGTGTGTGTGTGTGTGTGTGTGTGTGTGTAAAACTGGAGATAAGAGTCTCACAAACTTTCCTGCCCCAGCTGGCTTCAAACATTGACCTAAGCTCTCAGCCTCAGCCTCCTGAGTAGCTGAGATTACAGGCATTGAGCCATCAGTGCCCAGCTTCACTTTTATTTTATGGTTGTTTTTAATTCAAACTCACCAATGTAACTAAAAATGAAAGGTTATTATTTATGGTCAGCTGGTTCAAAATGGCATTCCAATACACATTTTTCTCTAGCACTGCAAAAATTAAGTAAAAAGAAAATATACGTAACTATATATATGAGTTAATTAAAACTTAACCAGCTAGCACAGAATGTGAGATATTACGATTAACTGACAATAAACCATGAAGGACTGGGTATGTAGCCCAGCACAAGAGCACCTGATTAACATGCAAGAAGCAGAGGAAGAAAAAAAAGATGGGCTGGGAAGGTGGCTCAGTGGTAGAGCGCTTGCCTTGCATGCCTGAGGCCCTGGGTTCGATTCCCTAGCACCACATAAGCAAAAAAAAGGAAAAAAAGCCGGAAGTGACACTGTGGCTCAAGTGGTAGAGCGCTAGCCTTGAGCTGAAGAGCTAAGGGACAGCGCCCAGACCCAGAGTTCAGGCCCCATGACCGGACCCAAAAAAAAAAAAAAGATTAACCAGGGAATCTCACTTTGTTGAAAAAGCCTTCCTGCAATCCACTGTCAACTTTTCCAATTCAAAGTCAATTCCGGAGAAATATCTGATGATTTAGTAGTTGTTCTACAAACAGATCAAGTTCATCATTTATTTTTTAGTTTACACAGCCCAGAGACCAAGGAAGACCCTAGAGCTAAGACTTGTTTAACAATTTCCATTCTTTAATTTTTTTTTTTGGAGTGCTGGACATTGAACTTTACATAGGCTACAAAGTACCGTATATATTGGTGAGCTAAAACCCCAGCTCTACATTTTTGAAGAGGTAGAAATGTATACTATTGAAACCATCAGTAGACCTACAAGGCCTAGAACATCTATTACCTAACATATTGTGTGCGTGTGTGTGTGCGCGCGCGTGCGCGCGCGCACGCACCAGTCTTGGGGTTTGAACTCAGTGCCTAAATGCTGTCTCTGAACTTTGTGATCAAAACCAGCACTCTCTCACGTGACCCACAGCTCTACTTCCAGCTTTTTGGGGGTTAGTTGGAGACAGTCTCAAGGAGTTGGCCAGTATGAACTGCTTTTGAAATATGATCCTCAAATTTCAACCGCCTGAGTAGGTAGGCTTACAGGCATGAGCCACCTGGCTAAAAACTACCAAGTGCTCTTTTCTCCTCACATTAACTAAAAGGTTTCAATTAATTCAGATCCAAATGACATAAATAAAATCATTGAAATTTTTCTATGGATTTTTACTCCCTTTTTTACACTCAATGGTTTTAACTAAATAAGAGTATTTGTATTAATGCAAAAGATGGGACACCTTACCTGGGGCATTGGCTATAGCCAACGGCAGACCTGGAAGCTGGTGCACCTGAATCCCTGACGTACTCAAAGCACTGAGGTTAATGGTCTGGAGGCCGGGCACAGAGGACAGTTGAGCAGCATTCACAGTGACTGTGCCAGCAGGGATGGAGGCAGCTGAGGCAATGGGTGTAAGGGTGGTGTTGCTGCTGCTAGTCTGTCCCAAAGAAACACCCTGCATTGGGGCTAAGGTGATTGTCTGGGCCTGTGGGTTCTGAACTTGGAGGTTCTGCAGCTGAAGAGTCTGCCAACTGACTTGTCCATTAGGTCCCACTGTTGGTGTCCGGATGATGATGGGGCCAGAATTTGGAACAGCCTGAAGCTGGAGATTCTGGAGAGTTTCCTGGGAAATAGCTTGAGTTGTAAAGGTCTGTCCTGACAATGGCGCTGCTTGGAGGGCCTGAAGAGCCTGTCCCCCTTGAACTAGCTGAGGCTGAATAAGAATCTGTTGTTGCTGTGTCTGCTGGTTTTGCTCTCCTTCTTTCTGCTGAGGTGTTTGCAGTGAACTTCCAGATGTTTGGTTCTGCTGGATGTTCAGAGCATCAGAACCCTGTAGCCCACTGACTCTCTGTGGTGTCTGGCTCTGAGAGGTGGTCCCTGATGATCCACTGGTGGTAAAGTTCATAATTCCCATGTTGCTGGTGGTAGTAGTTGTTGAGTAGCTATTGGCATTGGTAAAAAAGGAGCTGGAACTGGCTTGCGATGACACCAAACTGGTAGAACTAATGGCAGTCCCTGAGGTGACTGGCTGTGAGCTGCTCTCTTGGGATCCAGAGCTGCTGATCGTGACTGCCTGAGAGCTGGGAGTCAAGGTAGCTGCAGAAACGCTGTTGACAGGTAGCAAGGTGATGTTCCCATTCAGGGCCACTGGTACATTGGTCACATATTGGGTCTGTCCTGAGAGCACATTATTAGTCAGGCCTTGGAGAGGAACAGCCTGCTGGAGAAGGTTTGGCATAGCAGCAATGATGTTGCCTCCACTTCCTCGATTTGTGATGATTTGTTGATTTGCACCTGGTATAATCTGTATTTGACCAGAACCATCCTGCTGCACTTGAGCCCCAGTTGTAGCAGCAAACTGCAGCTGTTGCCCATCAACCGTCTGGAACTGGGGGATTACTTGATACTGAATGTTAGGCATCACTCCTGGTAGACCTGTGAGAACTTGCTGATTCTGTAAGTTGGGAGTGGCAGCCACGACATACTGCCCACTGGAGACTGTGCGATTCTTGGAAGACTCACTGCCATTGCTGCCATTGGTACTGTTGCCACTCTGTTCCTTTGAGGTAGGAGTAGCCCCAGAGGAGGAAGAGATGATCTGCCAGCCATTGGCACCCTGTGAAAGTTGTGTGGCTGTGAGGTCAAGTTCACCTGTGCCCCCTGACTGGCTTGGACCCTGGGAGTTGTTGCTGTTCTCATTGGGTGACTCAATTCTGCTGCAGGTTGCTGCCAGCAGAGCCAAAGGGGATGGCTGGGATTCCTGGCCAGAAAATAGGAGGAAAGGAGTTAGTGATACCCAGCTGCCAGCCTAGGGGGCAGTATACAACAAATGAACAGCAACATGGTGCAGACAAAGAGGAAAAAAAAAAAAAAACCCAGAAACAAAATCCTGACCTAGTATATGGCTGAAACTCATCTTTTAGGGAATCTCAAAATTACTGTCTTTCTGTACTTATTCTCTATAAAAATGGGTTGGTTGATTTTTGGGTTTTTTTCTTGTTGTCGTTTTTTTGTGTGTGACACTTAAGGCAATTTCTAAGAATATTTACACCCTCTAAACACCTCCCCACCCCCCAGCCCCACTTTTACTCTAATGCTCACTCACCTGTCCTCCTCCTCCTCCACTGCTGCTGCTGCCTGTGCTGCTGCTTCGAGTCTGAGAAAAGGCACCACCACCATTACCACTGCCCCCATTATTGCCACCAACTCCTTTCTCAATCTTCACCACTGCCGTCATTTCATCCATGGAGTGATCTTGGTCTAAGAAGAATTACAAGATAAACAACTCACAGTAAGAAAAAAAAAAAAGGATATAGTGAAGAGGAGTAAAAGGAGGTTATGATGAAATAGCAATGACTAACAGGAAGGTGAAAGGCGCCAGTGTAAAGAAAAATAGATTGAGGATAGGCTAGGGAGTCCTAGAACATGCAGGACATGACTAGGCTTACTTGTACTAATCTTGGGCCTCAACTTTCCATGCACAAAATTAAACACAGAAAGCACTCAGTGTTTTAGGATATGAAATGGAAGTGGCAGTGGGCAATGTACAAAGGGCTTCAAAGTAAAAAACATCCCAGGGTTAAAAAAGAGAAGGATAAGTAAGGCAAAACCCAACACGTGGGTGGATGGAAAGCTTGCTAAAATTAGGGCTGACTTGGAGAAAGAAAAATAGAAGTGTAAAAAGTAACAAGAGAGGAAGGGAAAGAGAGAAAGAACTAGTAACTGTGAGTGGGGAAACATTTGTGAACACAGGTAAAGGGGCTAAAGAGGTCTAGGGGAGCTGGAAATCAGGTTTGCGGGGCGAAGAGAGGGCGGGGCCCTAGAAGCAAGGGGCGGTTTCGGGGTGAGGGGCGTGGAAAGGGCGGGACGGTAGGGGGAGGGGAGGCCTTGGGGGGGGGTAGGGAGGGCCTTGGGGCAGGCGGCGACCAGAGGGCGGACTGGGGAGGCGGTTGGCCCAGGCGGGGCCTACACTTCTCGGGCCACCCCCGCGGCGCCAGCCCTCGGCGGGAGGAGCCTCAGGCGGGCGGCCCACTAGTGGGGGGTAAAGACCGTCCCCCCCCCCCCCCGTGGCCGGGGCGGGCAGGGGGCGGGCAAGGCCACGCTGCCCCCTCCCCCGGGGCGGGTGGCCCATCCCCCTCCTCCTCCGAGGCCCCGCCACTGCCACTGCCCCTTCTCTCCCTCCCTTCCCTCCGCCCCGGGCGGGACCTAGGCCGCCGCCGCCGCCTCCCGCCCGCCCCCCCTCACAGCGGGGACCGCCCGGTCGGCCCTCGCGCGCGCCCCCTCACTCCCGTCTCACCCCTAGGCTTGGAGTGGACTCATCCTTACCGCTCATGGTGGCAGCTGAGGGACGAGCTCAAGGGGGTCCTGTCCGGGGGGGTTGGGGGGGGCCCAGGAAAAACGCGGACGCTGACGAGGCAAGCGAACCCGGACCGGACAGGGAGGGGGGGGTAAGGAGGAGGGAGCAGCGCGCCACAAGCCCTGCCTAAGCTCCACCTCTTCACTCCTGCCCCGCCCAATGAGGGAGGGGGAAAAGAGGGACTTGCAGAAGAAAAGCAGGCGGACTACCCAATGATAAGACGCGTTTCCTCGCTAAGGCGTGTAAGACAAAGTTGCGTGTCCGGTGTCCGCCCATAAAGACCGCCTTCTCAGTTTTAAAAACCAATGAGAGATGCAGGAAGTGAGGGTAGGCGGGAGGTGGACACGATAGGCTTAGAAAAAAACCAGTCATCTGCCAGGCGGGCTCGGTGAGCGATGGTGATAGGAAGAGCTTAGATAAGAGTGACACAACAGCGACCAACCAGATTTTTTAGTATGCCTCAGCAACCACCCGGTTGGGAGAAAAGTAAGAAGTAGGCCGGAATGGGATAGGATAAAGCTTATCTAAACCAATCAGAAATCGGGCGGGCAGTCCGGAAAGTTATGATTGGATTAAAACTGAAAAAAGACGGAGTAGGACGCATATTGACGTGAACTAAAACCCAATTAAACGCGGGATGAACTCTCAAGGCTGGAACTTGAAGTGGGCAGAGGAGAATTGGCTTCTCTCTCGGTTACTCAGTCCAATGAGAGAGCGAAGCGAGTCTGAGCCCTCCTGTAAACCGGCCAATAGGCGTTTCTAGAACCACCCATCATGAAGGAGGGAACAGGGCTGTGCCAAGGAGAGTCTGTCGCCATGTTGGCCCTCCTAGGGGACGTCTTTACGGTGATTAAATACCGCGCTTTCGCTGGGGACGTAAACTAAAACAAGGATCTGAGCCCAGACAGGCTTCTGTCTCCCGGCCGAGGCTCTTCCGAGTGTTGAGTTAGCCGATCTCCAGTCACCCCGGCCCGGGGAGGGGCGGACTGACAGGCCGATGCCTCCCAGTGTGGGAGGAAGCCCTGCGAGTGCAGGCCGGACGTGATCTGGTGACGGCGCTCGTGAACCAAGTTATAGGTGCAAGGTTTCCGTGAGATTGCAGCAAACGCCATTTTCTTGAGCTTCCCCGGACAAAGACACTAATGAGTAAATTTATGGCTGGTTTATGAATAGCTTGTGTGTGCATAGAACAGCCTGGAGTCCAGAACTCCTAAACCACTTCCTTTTTCTTCTTCACCCTTCTTAATTAAAAATACTTCCTAAACATGGAACGAGGTAATTGAGTTCCTGCCTTTTTTTTTTTTTTTAAACAATTACAAAGCTTAAAAGGGATTTTACCCGAGGCTAATCTAAGAAAAACTCTCCACCCTCCATTTTGTCTCCCTTATCCCTGATGGAGGCTGCTGGTTAATAACATGACGCTACTCTTCTTAGCACTTGGATTTTGTATGGCTTTTTTTATTTTGAGACTTGAGTGTATTATCATTAACTACAATTTAGTACTTCATCCTATGTCCTCAGGTGTGTAGTCTTTATTTTTTGTTTTGTTTTTGTTGTTGTAGTTCCTCTCCCCTCATACTCCAGACCTGCAGATTCTGAGGCTTGAATTCAAGGCCTTGATACTGCCCATGACGGTTTGTGTGTGTGTGTGTGTGTGATACTGCCCATGAGGGTGTGTATGGGGGAGGGAGGTCGTGGGGCTCGGCTTGGGCACTGTCCCTCAGCTCTTAAGCTCAAGGCTAGCACGCTACAACTTGATCCACAGGGCCACTTCCAGTTTTCTGGTGGTTAATTGGAGATAAGAGTCTCACAGACTTTCTTACCTAGGCTGGCTTTGAATAGCAATCCTCAGATCTCAGCCTCCTCAGTAGCTAGGATTACAGGGGTGAGCCACAGTGCAGGCTGCCATGGAGGTTTTATAATTTAAGGTTAGCACTAGCACTCTACCACTTAGCCACAGCTCCACATCTGGTTTTTTTGGTGTTTAATTGGAAATAGTCTTCTCTTGCCCAGGCTAGCTTCGAACTGCAATCCTCAGAACTCAACTTCCTGAGTAGGTAGAATACAGTGGTGAGACACAGTACCTGGCTGGTCCACTTGTTTTAAAACTGATTTTCCTTTACCATTTTAATCCCTTTGAGGGTAGGAACTGAGGGAGGCCTGTACTGCTTTCAGCAGGACCTAGAAAATATGAAGTGACTGTCAATTAGCTACTGTGTTAGATAGGCACTTGCCATTTCTTACAAGGAAAAAATCTCCCAATTAGAGTAATTACACGTTTTATTATGAAGGAGGAAATATAGGCCAAGATGTAACTTCCCAAGATCTCAGAGCTAATGTATGTCCAACACACCTACACATGGTGGCACAAATTTGTAATCCCAGCACTGATGAGAAAGATCATGAGTTGAAACTACACAAGGAGACCTTATCTCAAAAAACTAGTCTTCCATACAATTTTAGTTTTCCTGGGGAGGGGGTGGGGGGTGGGCAGTGGTGGTTGTCCTAGTGCTTGAACACAGGAGCTAGGCACTGACCCTGAGCTCTTTTGCTCCAGGCTAGTGCTCTACTTCTTGAGCCAGGGCTCCACTTCCTGCTCTCTGTGCTCTGTGTGTGTGTGTGATTCATTGGCGTGAACTCTGGGCCTGGGTGCTGTCCCTCAGCTCTTCAGCTCAAGGCTAGCGCTCTACCACTTGAGCCACAGCGCCACTTCCGGCTTTTTTTCTTTTTGCTTATGTGGTGCTGAGGATCGAACCCAGGGCCTCAGGCATGCAAGGCAAGCACTCTACCACTGAGCCACCTTCCCAGCCCGAGTCTCACAGTCTTTACTGCCCTATTGGCTTCAACCCTGCATCCTCAGGTCTCAGCCTCCTGAGTTGCTAGGATTACAGAAATGAGCCAATGGTGCTCTGCTTTAGTTTTGCTTATTGTTATTTTGAATTTTGGCTATTTTCTTGTTGATTGAGACAGGGTCTTAAGTAGTTGTTACTCATCATTCTTCAGATTTAGCCTCCTAGTGCTGGTACTACAGGCATATATCACTACATCTACCTTTATTAATATATCATAAAGATAAATTTGTTATTGTTGTTGAATAGGGTGTCACTATGTATGTAGTCCATGTGGCCTCAACTTAACTAAATCCTCCTTTCTAAAGCTAGATTTATAGCTGTGTACCAGTATGCCTTACTGGGGAAAGGAGGGACCAAAAGGCCTGTGCTCTTTTGGCTGCATGTTATTTTTTTATTTTTTATTGTCTGTCATGGGGCTTGAACTCTGGGCTTGGGCACTGTCCCTGTGCTCTTCGGCTCAAGGTGAGCACTCTACTGCTTGAGCCACACAGCACCACTTCCAGTTTTCTGTGTGGCTTATTGGAGATAAGGGTCTCATGGACTTTCCTGATTGGGCTGGCTTTGAACTGTGATTCTCAGATCTCAGCCTCCTGAGTAGCTAGGATTAAAGGCGTGAGCCACCAGCGCCGGCCTGCAACGGGTTTAAATAGGCAAGCTGGGCACCGGTGGTTCATGCCTTTAATCCTAGCTACTCAGGAGGCTGAGATCTGAGGATCACGGTTCAAAGCCAGCCCAATCAGGAAAGTCCGTGAGACTCTTATCTCCAAAAAAACCACTAGAAAATCCGGAAGTAGGGGCTGGGAAGGTGGCTCAGTGGTAGAGTGCTTGCCTAGCATGCATGAGGCCCTGTGTTCAATTCCTCAGCACCACATAAACAGAAAAAGCCGCAAGTGGCGCTGTGGCTCAAGTGGTAGAGTGCTAGCCTTGAGCTGAGGAGCTGAGGGACAGTGCCCAGGCCCAGAGTTTAAGCCTCATGACCAACCAAAAAAAAAAAAAAAGAAAATCCGGAAGTGGCGCTGTGGCACAAGTGGTAGAGCGCTTGCCTTGAGCTGAAGAGCGCAAGGACAGCACCCAAGCCCAGAGTTCAAGCCCCATGACTGACAAAAAAAAAAAGAAAACCGGAAGTGGCTCAAGCAGTAGAGTGCTCACCTTGAGCAGAAGAGTGCAGGGATAGTGCTCAAGCCCAGAGTTCAAGCCCCATGACCAACAAAAAAAAAAAAAAAAGAAAGAAAGAAAAAGCAAGTTGTTAGAACCCCCACTGCAAATCTAGGAAGCTCAAAATTCAAAAGGGAGAGTCTTGAGGATTGTTTGATTGGTTTTGAGGTTTTTGTTTGTTTTTGGGATAGAGTCTAGCTGTGTAGCCCAGGCTGGTTTTTAACTCATGAATTTCCTGCCTCAGCCTCCAGAACACTCTTATTACAGAAATGAACTACCATAAACTTTGTTGTTTTGTTGTTTAGAGTCTTGTTATATAGGTTAAGTCCCCTGCCTTTCTCCTCAAGTGCATGGAATACACCAAACCCAGTTTGAATATATGCATTTTTAAATAGTTTAAGTAGTCCCTTAAGTTTGTGAGAAACACCAAAGGGCAAGGCATTGTGGAGTGGGATACAGCTGTAATCCTTAGCACTCACGAAGTTGTTATTAAAACCACCCTAGACTACTTGGGAAAACCTTGTCTGAAACAAAACAAGACAAAACACCAAGGAAAGGGATTGGGAAGAAGAAACCTTTGCTAGAGAAGAAACTTCCTGGAAGGAAGAAACTGCATTACTCATTCTCGTAAACCAACCTCTGGAGATTCTAACAGCTATTTAGTGTATTCAGCAACAGACACACCTAAACTTATTTCAAGAGCTGGAAGGGACAGGAACAAATGCTCTGGAACAGTGTTCTATAAACATTTCATATATGTCTATCTTAATTCTACAGATTTGTTTGTCACATCTGAGATTATAATTTAGTGGTATTATAGTATATGCCTAGCATTGAAAGACATTGGTTTGATCACAAGAAAAAATAAATAAAAAGAGGGAAGGGAAGGAAAAATATAATAAAAAAATAAAATGGGGATATTACCATCCTTTACAAATGAGGAAATTGAGATGTTGATAGTTTTGCTAATTATCATTCTTCTGTATTTCTTTCCAAATCCTCACTTCTAGCTTTTTGGTGGTTAATTGAAGACAAGGGTCTCATAGGCTTACCGGCCCAGGCTGGTTTCAAACTATGGTCCTTAAATCTCAGCCT